ACAGAGCTGGGTTTTGAAGGATGTGTAGGTGTTGTGTGATGTTTTAGGCTTTTAGGCTTTTTTTGGGGGGCCACCACCCACTCCCAAAGAAATCATACACGGAGTCTTATTCTTAAAAATGAACGCCCGGCCTTAGCTTGGATTGTTTCTTGCCAGCTTTTCTTATCTTTAACCCAACTACCTTTTGCCACTGGGCTCTTGTCTTTCACTTCTGTAAATCTTTGCTTGTTTGTCTGTTTTTCGAGATAGGGTTTCTCTGTAGCTTTGGAGCCTGTCCTGGAACTAGCTCTTGTAGACCAGGCTGGCCTCGAACTCAGAGCTCCACCTGCCTCTGCCTCCCAAGTGCTGGGATTAAGGCGTGCGCCACCGCCCGGCTTTTCCTTAAATCTTACTTTCACTCTTACTCCGTGACTGGCTGTGTTGCTGGGTGCCCCACAGGGTTCCCTTCTCCTTTTTCTCTTGTTGTTCTGTTCTCTTCCTCATTTTTTTTCTCCTTCTCTCTGCCTGCCAGCCCCGCCTATCCTTGCTCCTCCCTTGCTATTGGCCGTTCAGCTCTTTAGGTGTTTTAAGCAGACAGAGAATCGCAGCTTCACCGAGTTAAATAAATGCAGCATAAACAAAAGCAACACACCTTAAAATATTCTTCCCCAACATGTGGGAGTTGACTGGCTTGGAGAGAAAAGGGCATTGCAGCATAGAAAGCAACGCGAGGGAGGCTGGGGTCAGGGATCCCATCTCAGCATGGCATAACATGCTTGTTGTCATCCTAGGGCTCTGGAGGTAGAGGCAGGAGGATCGTGAGTTCAAGACCAGCCTGAGTGGGGAGGGCAGGTACCGGGGAGGTTTAGAGGGTTCAGAGCAGGGTGAGCTGAAGCAGGCAGGACGATGCCCAGCTCTCAAGAGGACACCTTGCTTGAGAGAGTGGGGTGGAGATGGAGCTGCTGATACCAAGCTCACTAGCACTGACTGGAACCACCTCTTCCCAGACCCCGTTCCATCTGCAGCTGGACTGGGCCAGTCCCCTGGAGACCATATTGGATGTGTTGGTGTCCCTGTTACAGGCGCATGCCTGGGAGGATGTTGCTCTGGTCCTCTGCCGTGTCCGGGACCCTGGCAGCCTGGTGACTCTCTGGACTAGCCGTGCTGGCCAGGCTCCCAAGTTCGTGCTGGACCTGAGCCGGCTGGACAGTAGCAATGGCGGCCTTCGGGCTGGACTATCCCTGCTGGGGGCACTGGACGGGGGAGAAAGCCTAGTGCCTGCTGTGGTCCTCCTCGGCTGCAGCGCTGCCCGCGCACATGAGGTCCTAGAGGCTGCACCCCCAGGTCCTCAGTGGTTACTGGGCACACCACTGCCTGCCGAGGCACTGCCCACAGCTGGCCTGTCACCTGGGGTGCTGGCGTTGGGAGAAATCAGACGACCCTCACTGGAAGCTGCCATTCACGACACGGTGGAGCTTGTGGCACGAGCACTCGGTAGCATGGCCCTCGCACATCCGGAGCGTGCCCTGCTTCCAGGTGCCGTCAACTGTGAGGACCTGAAACCAGCTGGACTTGAGTCATCTGGGCACACCTTGGCTCGGTGAGTCCAGCTTAGGGGGAAAAGGCCAGGCACATAACCTAGAGGTGGGTGGCTGTCCCTCCGTCCTCAGGCCTAGAGCTGCCATGGCTTCCAGGCGGGGGCTAGCTGAGCAAGGCGCAGGTCTCTCAGAGTTGTGATAATCCCTACTTTTTACATTCCCCAGATTTCTAAGCAACACATCCTTCCAGGGCCGCACAGGGGCCATGTGGGTGACAGGCTCCTCTCAGGTACACGTGTCTCGGCATTTCAAGGTGTGGAGCCTGCGCCGGGACCCGCTGGGCGCCCCAGCCTGGGCGACGGTAGGCAGCTGGCAGGATGGAGAACTGGAGTTTGAGCCGGGGATGGCTGCTGTGCATACCCCGTCTCCATCTGGCACCCAGGCACGGCCAAAGCTGCGAGTGGTGACCCTGGTGGAGCACCCGTTTGTGTTCACCAGGGAATCCGATGAGGATGGGCAGTGCCCGGCTGGGCAGCTATGTCTAGACCCAGGCACCAACGACTCGTACAAGCTGGATGCGCTGTTTGCAGCACTAGCCAACGGCTCGGTTCCCCGCGCGCTGCGAAGATGTTGCTACGGCTACTGCATCGACCTGCTGGAGCGGCTGGCTGAGGACCTGGCCTTCGATTTCGAGCTCTATATTGTGGGGGATGGCAAATATGGGGCCCTGCGTGATGGACGCTGGACAGGCCTGGTGGGTGATCTGCTGGCTGGCCGGGCACACATGGCTGTGACCAGCTTCAGCATCAACTCGGCTCGTTCCCGGGTGGTGGATTTCACCAGCCCTTTCTTCTCCACCAGCCTGGGCATCATGGTGCGTACGCGAGACACGGCCTCACCCATCGGGGCCTTCATGTGGCCCCTGCACTGGTCCATGTGGGTGGGTGTTTTTGCCGCTCTGCACCTCACAGCGCTCTTCCTTACCCTGTACGAATGGCGAAGCCCCTACGGACTCACGCCCCGCGGCCGCAACCGTGGCACTGTCTTCTCCTACTCCTCGGCGCTCAACCTCTGCTATGCCATCCTCTTTGGGCGCACTGTCTCCAGCAAGACACCCAAGTGTCCTACCGGACGCTTCCTCATGAACCTCTGGGCAATCTTCTGCCTGCTGGTGCTGTCCAGCTACACAGCCAACCTGGCTGCCGTCATGGTTGGGGACAAGACCTTTGAGGAGCTGTCTGGAATCCATGACCCCAAGGTGGGGCCTGGGAAAGCTGAGGGGCTGTGGGTTGTAGTCAGGGTGGGGTGGGCACTGGGCTCAGCTGACCACCTCCAGCTAGAGACTCACTCAATTGCAGTGCTGGCTGGAAATGGAATCCACAGAGATCCACCTGCCTCTGCCTCCTGAGTGCTGGGATTAAAGGCTGAGCCACCACCGCCATCAGAGGCCTTCATTCTTAAGGATGAGTCCTTTTTTAAAAGAATTGCAGCCAGGTGAGCGGTGGTGGCGCAGCCTTTAACCCCAGCACTAGGGAGGTTTAGGCAGGCGGAACTCTGGAAGTTCAAGGCCAACACGGGCTACAAGAGCTAGTTCCAGGACAGGCCCCAAAGCTACAGAGAAACCCTGTCTGAAAAAACCAAAAACAACAACAACTACGGCCCTTCAGGGATAACGGGCTGAATCAATCACATCTGAATTTATCCTCGCCTTCATGGTATTTCTCACAGTTTCCCTCGCTCTTCGGGATCTAGCTGGTCGCATCCTGCTGACCCCACCCCTAGTCTTGCCTTCCCTGCAGTTAGGTGCTGCCCAGTGCTCTAGCCACCATAGTGGTTGATGGCCAAGGCCAGGTGAGGTGAGGACTGGGGTTGGGGTGAGAGCAGAAAAAAGATGGGAGTGTCTCTGGGGTTCCCAAATGGAGCATTTGCGGAGCTGATGGCACTGCATCTGAGCTCTGTGTGAGGCCCCTCACTGCACGTGGTCAAGCAGGCTCCTCCTCTGCAGCTGCACCACCCTTCCCAAGGCTTCCGCTTCGGCACCGTGTGGGAGAGCAGTGCAGAGGCCTACATCAAGGCGAGCTTCCCTGAGATGCACGCGCACATGCGGCGCCACAGTGCGCCCACCACTCCACATGGAGTGGCCATGCTCACGTGAGTCTGCAGGGTACTGTGCGGCGTCGGTGGGCCACCTGTCACTCAGGGCCTGCTGACCTTGCACCATCCTGCTCCACAGGAGCGACCCACCCAAGCTTAATGCCTTCATCATGGACAAGTCTCTACTGGACTACGAGGTATCCATTGATGCAGACTGTAAGCTGCTCACCGTGGGCAAACCCTTTGCTATCGAGGGTGAGTGTGTAGTGGGGTTCTGGGCATCCCAATCGTGGGTGCACACAGCTTAGTGGAGCCTCCTCCCACCCGGCTCAACCTCTCCAGGCTACGGCATAGGGTTGCCCCAGAACTCACCGCTCACTTCCAACCTGTCGGAGTTCATCAGTCGCTACAAGTCTTCAGGTTTCATTGACCTGCTCCATGACAAGTGGTACAAGATGGTGCCTTGCGGGAAGCGGGTGTTCGCCATGACGGAGGTGGGCAGGCCCCCGGGACACAGGGTGGGGAGTTCTGGCTATGTTTGTGTGCGTTGGCACTCACCCTACACAGCCCCAACACCCCTTCATTCGTAAGATATTCCCACCTATTGGCCCTGCCCCGGGGTCCACATCCTGACCCCCTGGGGACATCGCTGTCCTGTGCAGACGCTGCAGATGGGTGTCTACCACTTCTCGGGGCTGTTTGTGCTGCTGTGTCTCGGGCTGGGCAGCGCACTGCTCAGCTCTCTGGGTGAGCACGTCTTCTACCGCCTGGTGCTGCCACGTATCCGCAGGGGAAACAAACTGCAGTACTGGCTTCACACGAGTCAGGTGAGGTTGCAGGGACCAGAGTAGGGTGGGATGGCACAGATGGGCAGCCCGGACGCCCCCTGACATGCTTGTCTGTGTCCCTAGAAGATCCACCGTGCCCTCAACACTGGGACGCCAGAAGGGCACCAGGAGAAGCAGGAGCAAGAGTGCAGGTGAGCGTGGGACGGGGAGGGAGGAGCCCCAGGTAGGTGGCCAGGCGGGCTGCAAGGGCCACTGCCTCCTTCTCTGTCCTAGCGGCCCCGAGGAGCAGCTGCCTGCAGCTGAAGGTGCGGCGCGCTGGAGGCGGGTGCGCAGGGCTGTTGTTGAACGAGAGCGGCGCGTGCGGTTCCTCCTGGAAAGCCGGGAGGCCGGCGGGGAACGCCCGTGGCTCTGCTCGAATGGGCCTGGGCCGCAAGCGGAGCTGCAAGAGCTGGAGCTGCGCATCGAGGCAGCGCGGGAGCGTCTGCGCAGTGCACTGCTGCGGCGCGGGGAGCTGCGGGCCCGACTGGGGGATGGCGCCCAGCTCCGGCCATTGCGCCTGCTGCAGGTACCATCGGCGGAAAGCTGAGGGACCACACAGCCGCGCTGTCCACGACAGTTTATTCTATATACAAACACGACTCTGTACACTGCAATTAAATAGCGTAGAATGTGTGCCCCGCGTCCTGAGCCGCCACCTGCGAGTCCGGACCCGGGCGCTCGGCCCCGCGCGGGCGCCGTGTGGAAGGCACTGGTGAGCACCAGGCGGCCGGCGGCCACGCGCCCACCGCACCTCGCTGCCCTGTCCCGGCCGCTTCCAGAACCTTCACCGCCAGCCCCTCTCCCTGCAGACCACAGCTCTCTCAGGCTCCGGCCGCGGCCCCGCCGGGAGCCGGGCAAGTCGTAGTTCTCAGGACCCGGCAGGCGCAGGCGAATCCTCCTGAGGGACCCCGGGGTCAGGGCGCGCGCTGTCTGGGTTGCTAGGGGCCGCCGGCCTCCGCTCCAGCAGCGAGGCGCTCAACCCAGACAGGAAGGACGCGTCCGAGATGATGGCAGCCGTCTCGGCCACCCAACCCAGGTCACTGCCGGATACTGAGGCCGTGGCGCCCAGCGAGCCAGGCCCAGATGACCCGCCGGCGGGAGCGGAACTGGAGTTGGGGCCTAGCGCAAGCTGTGGACCAGGATCGGGGGCGGCCGGGGAGCCAGAGTTGTTGTTGAGGTCGTCAGGCAGCGCTGTGGGGGTCCCGGGGCCTAGCTGTGGCGTCTGCAACAACATCTCCTGGATGCGGATCTGCTGCAGGATGGCCGGCAACTCGTAATGGTGGAAGAAGTAGATCATGGAATGCTGCGGAGGACAGAGGTCGGGTGAGCGAGGCCACATGAGGCCTCGTGGGGCGCAGCAAGGCAGGGGCGGCTCTCACCTGGATGAAGAGCCAGGAGGTGACCAGGGCCAGGCTGCTGTACTGCCCGTTGAAGCGGTAGTGGTAGGCGTAGAAGGCAAAGTGGTACAGGTAGAAGAACCTGCAGGGCGGGAGAAGTCGCTCTGTCAGACAGGCCCCGCCCTGCCCCACCCGGATCCACCTCTGACCCCGCCCCTCACCTGGCCCCACCCCCACCTCAGCCAGTGCCGCTTGCTGGTGTTGGTGTGGCAGCAGATGGCATCATACTGGTCGGCCAGCCACACGATGAGGATGATGTAGAAGGCCGTGGTGGTGTCGTTGAAGAACTCAGACATGATGGCCTCCATCCCTGCGGGGACACGCGGCGGGGTTGGCACGGGTGGGGCGGGGCGGGGGCGGGGGCGCAGCGGGGGTCCTCACCGACGAGGGCCAGGATGACGGTCAGCAAGGGCGCTGCGGGGAAGGCGATGGCCATGTTCATCTCCAGCATCTGCAGCAGGTCCACTGCGGGCACAGGGCGGCCGCCCGTGAGGGCCTGGGGAGAGCCCAGCCCACCCCCGGCCGGCCAGGACTCACCGATGAAGACGAAGATCTGGTGGTGCGAGTAGCGCAGCAGCATGGACACGCTGAGAGTCTGCGGGTGGGAGGGTCAGAGTCAGGGGGTGCCTGGGGGTGGGCACCCCAGCCCAGCAGGCCCCCCAGGAGTGCCAGCCATGCCTATTCACTCACAAAGATGACCATGATGACGAAGGCCGCCAGGTAGGACGTGCGCGCCATCCACATGCTGACAAAGCGATAATGCTCCCCAGACACCACATTCCTCAGGAAACCTGGGAGAAGCGGCTGTGAGCAGCTGGGTGGCCATCATCCCTCCCTTCTCCCTCCTCCCCGCCCGGAGCCCCACCCTTGTTCTCCTCATTCTCAGCTAGGCCCTTCACACTGGACATGAGGACGTCATCATAACCCAGGAACTCGTCCAGCAAGAGTCGGCTAAAGCGGTCTCCAAAGCACTGGTCCCGGGTGGGGTCTGTGGGCAGATGGGAGTCAATAGTGTCACAGAAGCAGGGGAGCCCTTCACAGCTGGATGCCCCAGTCCACCAGGGTACCCAAGCTGCCTTACCGAGGGTGACCACCATGACAGGGATGCTCAGGCGCTGGCGTGTGGCCTGTGACAGCCGCAGGAAGCCGTACTCCAGCGAGTACTCTACAATGTACTCATCCTGTGGCCACACTGCAGAGATGGACAGAGTGGTCAGCTGCCCCACCCTCAGCATGGCCTTGCCACCCTCCCTACCTGGGGCCACAAACCTTTAGTTGGCGTCTCAGGGAAAGGGAAGTCCTGGCTGTCATTCAGGGCATCGGTGCCACCTGGAGGCTTGAACACCTTGGGCTCGATGTCCAGCTCAAACTGCAGCACAGGGTACCCAGGTGTCAGTGGAGCCCACAAGAGGCAGTCCCTGATGGTCTACTGGGGGGCTGCCCCCAGGACGGGGTGCCCAGACCCGCTCACCTTGATGGAGCTGTTGTTGAACATTTCCACGGTCAGTTCCTCCTCCTCCTCCTCCCCCAGCTCCAGGCCGCCGAGCCCCCCATCACAGAACTGCAGGACCACCGGTGCCCGGCTTGAGTTGTGACGCACCTCTACCCGCAGGACGCCCTCCCTCGGCCATCGGTCTCGAACATGCTCCAGGCAGTTGATGGGCGACCGGGAGAAGACAATGTGTATGTAGGCCAGCACAAAAAGCACAAAGAGGGCCTGGGGGTGGGGAGGGCAGTCAGCAGGGCAGCCAGACACCCCTCTCCCAGCCAGCTATCCCTGGCTACCTGTGCCTCCTTGGGACCCAGCTGCCTAGGGTCCCCACTGGAAGGGTTTCCTGGCCCAGCAGCTGCTTCAACTCAAAGTTGCCTTTGGGGACCCCAGTCTCACTGCTGCTAACCGAAGCCCTGATCTCACCAGCTAAGAATAGCCGTCATCTCCAGCAAGGCACCCTCTGCCCTGCCCTGGTGGGGCCCGGGCACCTCAGTAGTAGCAGGCAGCCTTTTCACCTGGAAGAGGACAATGGCCACCCTTGCTGGTAACCCTGCAGCCAGAAGACCCTGGGCCAAGCTCTCGGCATGGGATGGGTGGAAGGCGAGAGCTCTGCTCACACCCTGCGGGGTCCTTGATGCCCTGCTGAGACCAGCCCAGCTCCAGACGTTCAAGTACAGGTTAAGAAAAGAGATGGCTCAGCTGGTACAGCAGTGGCCACTAAGCCCGAGGACCTGAGTTTGACCCCAGGACATACAAGGCAGACGGAGCAAGTCGCCACCTGCACTCTATTCTCTGACCTCTCCATGAACACCATGGGATACAGGCTCCCACACACATGTGTACTCACACACAAAATAAATGAATATAAGTTGTGTTTGTTTTGTTGTCTGAGGCAGGCCTGGAACACCTTCTGTAGAGCCGCCACCACCTGGTTACAGATTTTAAGTCACAGACTACTTAATACTACTTATTAACCTCAAACACCCCTATGCTAGAGACCCACAGTCTCTCAAGAGGCCCCACCCTTTGGGAACAACCTCCCCTTTCTCCGCAGTGTGTGGGTAACTGGAAAGCTGGTAACCCAGGGGTTCTCAACCTGTGGGTCATGACCCTTGGGGGGAGGGGTTTCTAGACCACTGGAAAATGCAGGTATTTTTATCCTATGACTCATAACAGCTGTGAAATAGCAATGAAAAGAATTTTATGGCTGGGGGGGTCACCACCACGTGAACTGTATTGAAGGGTCACAGATTCAAGGTTAAGAATCACTGCCCTAACCCATGTCAGGCGGAGGCCAGGGACGTTCGCAGCACCTGTAGACTCCAGGATATCACTCATGCGCCATGCCCTTGGGCTGAAGGGGACTCTGTGCTCCATGGGCCTGTACAGGGTATAGGGTAAAACTCCTCTATGGCCCCCACCGACACCTTGCCTGAACTTCCTGCCGCATTCCCACGGATCAGTACAGATCTCTATCTGTCTGCAGATGCACGAGAACCAGGACCCTGACCCTAGGTAAGGCAATGGGAGTCACCAGGGTCAGGACAGTCTTGGACAACCTTGCATGCTCAATGTGTGCACTCAAGTCCCTACACTCTTCACGGACAAGACGGACGCCTGAACCCCAATCTCAAGAGAGAGATTCTGTGGTGGCAAGCACAGCAGCAACGCCCCCACCTTCCGCCAGGTAGCGGTTTAAGGGACATAAGCAACCTAAGGCCAGAACTAGCCAGGGCCGCTCCACTGCCCACCCTGCTCTGCCTGCTGCCCACGCCTCCCCTCTGCAGCCTGGTGACAGAGTTGGGTCAACAAAGCACCCAGCCCCTAGTAGTGACCTGAGGGGATGCACAGCAGCAGGCAGATGGTGGGGGTCCTGGGATCGAGACCAAGGCTCAAGTCCTGAGCTAACCATACCTAAAGCCAACACCTACCCCTGTGAATTGTGAGGCTCTCCTGGGGCAAGGAATAGATGTTTGTATTGAGTGTCATGAAGACTGACCCCCAGGCCGAGACCAGAGGCAGCAGCTCCTGCTAGTCAGGCCCAAGAACTGGGAGCAGACAGGCTCGCGCTCTATGTGTTGGGCAACCAGAGGCAGAGGGAGGTGGCCACGGGACAGGTGGACGTATTTAGGCCTCTCTCCGCACACAGCTGTCACTGAACTAGTGTCTGGCATCCCACTAGGGCCCTGGGGCCACGCCTCCGCTCAGCTACCCACTCTGTGCCAGAGAAGCAGGCCCTGAGTTTGGTCACACCGGCCTGGTGAGAGCTGCATGCTATCACCTCCTGCAGAGCACTCGGTGCCACCAGCCTCAGTCAGGATCTCCAGGAGAGCCCAGCCCACCAAGGGTGCCACACAGCACCTGCCAGCAGTCAGATCTCCACTGGAACAGGGCTGGAGCTGGGGCCTTCCTGCTCGCCTTTTAACAGCTGCCCACACCCTGAGGAGCCTGCAGCTCCCTCTGCCCCACGGTCGCCCACACAGTATAGCTGCTTAGCCTAGGCTCCTAGAGCCTCAAGGGAGGTCTGTCTAGTTTCAGTATTTGAGGCAGTAAGGCCAGCAGAGGGGACACCATGGCCAGCAGTTCTTCCCTGGACTTCCGCAGGAGCTGACGCCTAGGCTGGGTGTGGGGACAGGGTGCAAGGTGGTACAGGCCTGACAGGCCTTGGCCATTAGGCACACCCCCTCTAGAGGCTGGGAGGAAGCTGGGCAGGCAGGATGGGCAGGAAACACAGCAACAGGGCTCCCCGAAACAACAGCAGCCCCAGAAACCAGTCAGTAAATGGCCTGTTTGTCCCAATTCAGACAGCATGGACCAACTGTAATCCAACAGACCCCCCAGCTCCGTTCAGGCACCTGGCACCCCAGCTGGGGGTCATCATCGGAGACTCTGAGGGTGTAGAAGGTAGGAAGAAAGAGGGGCCGCTGACTGAGGGGAACCCGACATCTGTCTGGAGCTACTAGCTCTGGAGCAGTGACAGGAGCCAGTACCACCTTCACCAACCTCATGTGAGGAAGGCAAAGCCCTCCAACACCAGCACAACCGACATCATGACACGCCCCCAACACCAGATGGCCCAGCCAGCTCCTCTCGGAAGGCTGTCACAGGCACGATGCCCAGTGAGAAGCAGCCTGGTGCCCATCCCTCCTGAGCAGCCTTTGTGACTGCGAACCCAGTGTCCCCCTGGAACACAGCAGGAAGACAGCCAGGGCAGGGCCTGGCAACCGGAATTTCACAACAAGACTCAGGCAGGCCTGAGGTCCCAGGCCACACAGTTCCTGGCTGCGACTCTACTGCTGACCCCAGTGAGGTGACCTCACCCAAGAGCCACAGAAGGCCTGACAAGACTCTGAGAACAGTGAAGTGACACCGGGTGGCAGGGGGACTGTGCCCAGGGGAGGCCCAGAGTGGGGTCGGATGGGAATGACAGGTGAGGGTGGGCACCCGGCCTACAAGGTTGTCCACACTGGAGCCTCAGGATGGGACAGGAGTGACCAGAGAACTGTCCCCAGTTGGACTGGTGGGAGGTGCTCCCAAGGGGACACCAGGCTCTGTTCCTGAGTGAAAATTTCGGGGCCTAGGCTCCCAGGCTGCAGAGTCAGAGGTCAAAGGGCAAGAGGCGGGGCCTGGGAGCTGGGGAAGAGGGGATCAGGGGCTGCATCTGTGGGAAGACTGACATCTGGGCATCCAGGTGTCAGGGGTCGCCAGGTGCTGAAGCAGTGAGAGTGGGCAGGTGGGTGGCCGCTGGGGTCAGAGGTCAGGGGTCAAGGGTCACCTTGAGCAGAACGAAGAACTCAAAGAGGCGGCGGAAGGCAGGCGGGAACAGGCGCGAGTAGGTGACGGCCATCTTGAAGAAGAGCGCGTGGAAGAGCCGGTCGCGCACGTTGATGAGCGGGTTGG